TTTTTTTTTTTTTTTTTCTGTTTTTGCTCGGTGACAACACATAGCTGCTTTTTATCTGCACTGAGCCAGCCACCGATTGATCATTTTGTTTCGGTTTATTGGAGCCTGTCCAGTGTTAACGTGGAATGTTTTTATTCCATTTACCAAGGCTGAAGTATTTGCTTGCTTCATCTGTGCAGAAGATAATTTGAACTTGGTTTTGTTATGCAAATTAAGTACATTATTATAGTATGAGCATTACTGAGGAGGTTATTGCTTATATGTAATCAGTGAAGTCCTGTGAGTCTGAAGGATGTACTTGTGTTTCAATTTTATGAGACCTTTAGGATAATTTTGTCTATGTGTGCATGTGCTTCTTCACATATTTGAGCGCTTTTGTGTATGTGCAGTGTCTGAGCCCACTCTGAAGTTGAAGATAAAGAAGCTCATCAGTACAAGGCCAAACCCACTCCGGCGTAAGTCCAGCGCCCCTCCCGCTGTCAAGCACAGGACAGAGACTCTGGGTAGAGTATCCACATTTAACTACATCATTCACATCATCTTATGCCTTTGTTTCATTTGCACTGCTTTTTTAGCAATTTCAAGATAATCCTGCTTTGATGTGCCATTTTCTTCTGTATTGTTTTATAACAGGAGACACTTTAAAGATGCATCTTTAGCAGCAGACATAATGTGATGTCATCATATACTGACACAGTGTGATTGACAGTCAGTTTGTTACGTGCACCCTTTGGTGCTGTATGAACACATCTGTTCTGACCGTGTTGGGTGGCATGAGTTTATAGTTGTCTCTCCATTCTGTCACCCAGACTCCTCCCCCAGCAGCACCCCAGCATCAGGGTGCAGCTCACCTAATGACAGCCTTCATTTGGAAAATGGGGCCCTCCCACTGGCTCATGAGGTCAGTCTTTATTTTATATTGAAATCACAGCTATTTAGAAGACTTTCCTATCCACATAAGTATATTACATTTGCACAAGTTAAGTTTCAGAGTATAGTCAGCACAATATTGGGGATGAGAATGGTTCAGCCTCGTGCATCTCCATTTTATCTTCCCCTTATGGATTAAGAAAGAGAGAAAACCTTTTATTTTCTTTATTAAATAGTAAAAATATATACTTCTACTTACTGATAATTCAAGTGTCGCTAGGCTTTTCCAAACTGATTTTACCTCTGCCTTTTAAAGGGCAGCCACCAACAGCTGAATGTTAATTGGTTACTGAATGCAATGCAGTAATGGTTAAAACAGGGAGATCTGAGAAGGCCAGATGTACAAATATACATTACTTGCTCATTCCATGTCAAATTAAAATGTTTATATCCATTTTCTATTTGCCTTATTTACTGGCTACAACAGTAATGTGGGTTTATCAGTTTTCCACACACATCCTGTATAATCACCCATTTAATAGAATTAAATGTCTACTTGTGTGAAGGCTGATATATTTAAAGCTCAGCCCAGCTCTCAGTATATGGCACTAAGCATAGAAATCAAATGGAAGTCTTTTATTATGGAAATGTTTATAGTTTGGTGTTTTTATGTTCAAAATGGGCTAATCTGTGTCTAATTATCTGTATAGATCATTTCTGTAATGAACATTTGTGTGTCATTCAGGCACAGGGGTTGCTGTTGAAGGATGGTCATTTAGCCAGTTTCACCATGCCTCCCAACCCCACCGCCATGCCTAACATCACTGCTGGACTGCCTGCACAGGTGAGCAACTAGGGTTCCCTTTACTGTTAAAGTTTTATTTAACAACAGCATCTACAAATACAGGATGTTAAGTCAAGTTACGTACACTTACATCACATAGATATACATAGACATATGCTATGTAGCCCTGTGTATCAGAGACTTAAAATGTCTAAAATAGTGCCTGCACATTTGAACACTTATAGAAACATTCAAGCTTTCGCTTCCTTCTTGGTTTCTGCGGTGCTTTCACATCTTGTGAATCTGTCATGTGGCAGTTTACTCACATTATAAACATGTTGTAGAGTCTCTCTCAGCACTATGAACAGAAAAATGTAATCCTGACCATATGTAACAACCCTGAATTTTACTTGTTTGTGTGAGCTGCAACCAGGACAAATGACCCATCCAGCATCCCTTACCATCACTTTTCCTCTCCTCACTCCCCAGGCTGACCTGCGAGTAGCTAGGCCGCTGGCAGTTTCTGCTCTGAATCAGCTTTACCTGCCTCTGGAGGGAAACAGTCCAGCTCTGGCCCAGCGCCTGCAGCCTGTACTCGTACTCGAACCACACACTGGGCTGGTGCACTCCCAGCTTGTCTCTTGTGAGTTGGTTCACTGTAAATGTGTTATACAACAGAAACAGAAACATCTTGATATGCACATATGCAGAACAAATGCATCTGGACATGCAAGTGACAACACAAAGGAACATGTACACATAAATAATCCTAACTGTGGTGCAACCCAATCAACTACTTTGTTTTGTTTTATTCATAAACAAGAATTAATTATGCAGTTGTATCTTTGTATTGCAGGTGCTGTGTCCAAATATTTTTACCAGCAAAAGCAGCATACCAATTATTTTTATGTACACATCATTTGTTGCAGTTTTTTGCAGTCCCAAAAAGCATATGCGTATTACCCATTAACAAAATTTATTTCACTTGTTTTAGCAGGAAGAGCACAGGTGTAGTTAATAACATCAATAACAATGTTCCATGTAGGGCTGTGGTGTTTTGCACCCTGGCTCAGTGGCTTACTTAGATACCTAACCAGAACAGAGTCATCATTAATGTCACTGACAAGACTTCCTGTTAAAACAAGTAAAAATATCTGCTGTGAAAATAAGTCTGTTTATTTTAAATCAAGTGTAGGAACATTTTTGTCCTCTGTGTGTCTTTTGCCTCAGTATGAGCAGCACCAGTACGCCCTCTACTGGGCATTTAATAATGATGCCGTTTCACCCAGTTATACAATCATATACAGTACCTATGCATGTACACTTACCCCTTCAGCCTCCTCTCTTTTGTCTGCCCTCTTGTAACCTGTTCCTCTCTCTCCTTCTGTCTGCAGTTCATGGTTTGAGTTCCTCTCCTCTGCAGCAGCAGCCTCATCTGTCTTCCCCCTCCAGAAGAGAAGGTGTAGTCACTTTGCCCTCACACAGACCTGTGGAGCGAACACGCTCAGAGCCACCACCCTACAGCCACTCTCCCCTTAGTCTGCATGGCAGCCATCACTCACACATCCCACACCAGCTGCTTCAGCATTACCACAAGGGTGGGCTGGAGAGGTTCAAGCAGAATGCACACCTGAGCAAGGTGAGAGGAGGCAGACGTGGACACAGTGTTGCATACAAATAAACAAGCTAACGTATGTTGTTGCAATATAGATGTCGTCATAGGTCTGTGTGGACTTGTACTGTACATGGATTTGCCTGTTTAAAAATACTGACAATATTTTACTATAGTACTATAGTAAACTATAGTACAGAAATAATTCAATTTGTTTTTTCAGTTGTGCTATATACAAATACATATTAAAGCATTAGCCACTTTAGGATTTGTAAATGATGCTTATGTTTCTACCTTGTATCAGCTGACGAGCAAGTCCATTGAAAAGCCTCGTCTGACACAGATTCCATCAGAAGACATGGACCTGGAGGAGATTGGATCAGGCTCAGGCTCAGGGCCAGGTTCGGTGTGCAGCTCAGAGCCGGGCTCTGAGGACGGCTACCGCAGGAGACCGAGCACTGCCAGCACAGACTCGGTTTATGGCACAGAGTCCTCAACCTCCTCATGGGAAAGCTTGATTGAGCCCTCACATTCCCACAGTCAGGTAGTGATATAAACTCACTGTCACATCTTTTCAGAGAAATGATGTATTACTTTTCTGTGAAAAAAAATCTCTGTAAACCTTTATGGCCCTTTTTGGTACTAGAAAAAGAGTACACTAAGTTGGCAGTTTACTGAGCATCTAATTCAGACAAATGTAGTTCAGTCAATAACTTTCCATTTTTGGTGAAACTGTTTTAGAGAAGTGTTGAATTAGCTGTGCGATGCTTTTAACAGATGTAGTTTGTGGTGCTGTTGAATTGTACTGCATTATACATAGAGGTGTTCTGACATATTAACAGCATGTGTATTTAATGTATTCTAATAAGGCTCTTACAGTATGATGATGCAGAACAGTTCAACTGATTAAATTATTAATCATATGACTTATGACAAAGAAATAAAGAAATTTCTAGTGCTCATGTACATGATTTTGCTTGTTTAGCACATGCCTGTGACATCAGAGGGCGCTGTAGCTTTATTTACTATATGCCAGATAAAAACAGTGAGTGACAGTATCGTGGCAGCATGCATGGCAGTGCTGAATTTTCTTTATCAGCTGCTTGTTGTAGACAAGCAGTATTGAAATGACCAAGTCATGAGTTTTGCCCCGATCTCCCTGTTCTCCTGGGAACCACAGAGGCACGTGATTCTCAGACCAGGTCTCCAGCTGGACCCTCTGACGATGCCAGCCCTAATTTGGCCTCACCAGCCTCTGGTTCGGACCCGGTCCTCCCCAGCCTCCACCTCCCTGCCTCCTTCAAATCCACCCACCACCATACCGTCTTTGTCACTGTCCAGCCCCACTGCAGATGCCCAGCTACGCTTCACTACAGGTGGCTGACACTTTTTGTTCAGGAAAATGTGAAAAAAAGCATGGATGCCATTACTTCCCGACATGTTTTACAAATAGTTACAATTAGTTTAGCTACAATTGATATACAGCTGGATCATGAAATTCTGAAACAGTACAGCAAGGTTAAGAGATGATGCATGTATCTAGGTCTGGTTTATGACGCTCAAATGCAGAAGCACCAGTGTGCCTGCGGGGACAACAGCCGCCACCCTGAGCACGCTGGAAGAGTCCAAAGCATCTGGTCCAGACTGCATGAAAGAGGCCTCAGGAACCATTGTGAGGTATGGTGAGCACACACATACACACACTACACATACTGACAGATGCATATCCCCAGAGTAAAAAATGTATATATAAATGTGTTTGTGTGTATGTGTAGCGTATTCGCAGTAGGAAGGCCACTCGTGAAGAGCTGCAGTCAGTCCATTCAGAGAAACATGTGCTGCTGTTTGGCACCGGTTCAGTCAACCCCCTCAAGCTGGACAACCGCAAACTGGCTGGTGAGATTGATAACAATAATAATGAAAAAAAAGATCTCCTATAGGAACCTTATCTCAACGGATTTTTGTGACGTTGCCGTGTGGAGGAGTTGGGGTGGGTGCCACACACACACACACACACACACACACACACATGCATGGATGGATGCACACAAACACACACCACAGACTGCTTTAAAACACAAGGTATGTAGGAATCTTTCCACTTATCTAATTGCACTATTGAACAGCAAACATTACATGGCTAATTATGGCTCATTACACAATTAAGCTAATAATGTTACAAATTACTAATGCTATTGGTTTTGGCTCAGATAAGTTTGAAACTCAATCAGAGATGAAAGACTGCACAAAGGTGAGATGTGGGAGAAAGGGAGAAGGGAAGAAAGAGGGTAGACACAGACTGCAGCTTGAGGGGTGCATGCCAGTGAAACTGGATTTTGTTTAGAGGGCGAATGGAATGTGGAGATAAAATGTAAAGACTAGAGGAAATATAATAATGGGCAATGAGAGAAGGAAGAATGGGGAGGACAACAAAAGACATTTACTCCTCTCATATGGCAAAGCAAAGATATTAATGTCCATAAGAAAGTTGTGAGGCACAATGACAAGAGACAGGAGGACACAGGGAAGAGGAGAGGAGGTAGGAAAGGAAAAAGGGACTGGATGTCAGTTGATAAGACGACTGATCTCCCTGGATGTTCAGCCCTTGGCTGTTTTGGTGAAGGGGGTTGATTGGAACAAGATGGCAAAGTCTGTGATAAAAGAAATTCCTCTGATTTCATTGTTCCACCATGGCACACCACTAGAAATGTGAGTTTTGAGGCATGGAGTAGCACAGAAACACATGACAGAGCTTCTGCTGAGTATAGAGGCAGCCAGGAGAACGTGGATGTGAACAAAAAGAAGTCTTTCATTCATGATATCCACAGAAATTAAACGTACAGCATCACCAGTGTTTCATAGTTTGAATAAACCACAAAAACACACCAAACTATAAGAACAATTATGCATGTGATCAGATAAAAGCAGTGCAGTCAGAAGTAAAATTCTGATTAATTAATGTGAATCCTCATAGGCAGAACTGTCAATAGTAGTACTGGTCAGCAGCTCGACAAAATGAAATGTGGTAAACCTGCTGACTGAGGCTGTTCACTGAGCCTGCCAAGTAAAATTCTGCCAACCGGTCTGATTGGAATTCACTACAAGGTTTTAAAAGTCCAACCCATCAAGACAGACTCCAGTTTTGATTAGTCTGAAACACATCAGAACATTTAATATGCACCAATTCTCTAACTGTTCAAACAGAAGTAGCTTTTAATCTGACATCTTTCCTTCTGAACTGACTTTACATGTTTCATCACTGTTTTACTGACAGGTAGATAATGATACAATCTGGAATGAGGTTCACACATCAGTAGCTTCCCGTATTGCTGCAGGATGTGTTACAGACCTCGCACTGAAGGTGGCACAGAGAGAGCTGAAGGTGTGTCTTTGTTACCAAATATATTAGCTGTTGTGTAAACGTCATCTTTTACAGTATACTCTGCTAACTTGCTTGGCTATTTCACACATTGACTATAATGTTAAATATATATACAAGAGCATAAAACTGTGAACCTTTTTAAGTTGTTTATCTTATGAAAGTAGTATGGTGTTAAGGTTTTTGTTCGTCTCTCAGAATGGCTTTGCAGTGGTGAGGCCCCCTGGACATCACGCAACCCACTCCCTCCCTCTGTAAGCATGGCAGCATGCACCCACGCACTCACACATACCATGAGCCAAGAGGTCTGTGCAAAGTGTTTAACTTCTGAGCGAGAGAGAGAGAGAGAGAAAGGGCTATGTCTCTCTGTCCTAATGTGTGTGTGTGTGTGTGTGTGTGTGTGTGTGTGTGTATGTGTGCTCAGCAGTGCTTGTCACTGGTTATTTATGGGATGATAATGAATTTTCATGATGAGCAGTGTTTGGACAGCATATATGATACACAGTACCATCCACACATGCACACATGCTGTGTTTTCATTCCTTGTGGGGACTGTACATTGATTTACATTCATTTCCTGTAGACCTATCCTAACATTAACCATAACCACTACTTGCCTAACCCTAACCCAAACCAAACCTGACCCTAACCTCAAACCATGTTATCACCCTAAAATTCAGTGATTTCCGAGCCTCCACAATGTCCATCCATCCATCCATTTTCCTCCGCTTATCCGGGACCGAGTCTCGGGGTCACCGCT